GCAAAAAAGGAGGAACAAGAGTAGAATGGAAATATGGCAGGACACAAGTGGAGGTTAATCAGAATCCTGCTTTCACTCTATGTCCACAATGCCTTAATGGTATGATTCTAAAACAGGTGGCCGATGGAAACATCCCTGTTAGAATGGAATGGAAAGCCACTTCTCACTGGCTGTCCTTTCAACTGCAATAGAGATTGTGATTCTGACTAACTGGAGCTAATCTTGGCACAACCCTAGGAGTACACAAGTCTCAGAAGACAGCTCATGGGTACGACATGTGGCAAGGCCAAAGCTGGGTCCAGGTGTGACCCGCCCCCCACAGCTAAATGTCACCTAGTAGACTCACCCTTGTGCACCCCCTGTGGCAGACTTGCTGTTAGTAGATCTATGTGTGCAACACCACAGCAATCCGCAGCTAGAGCCTGTAAGCCTCATGTGACTTCTGGCGGCAGTGACCCTCAAGGACAAGGACACAGGGTAAGTATGCATTTTGCAGGAAGGTGTCCTTCCTAGCAATCTCCACTGTAGATACCGTCATTAAGTCACTTGATGGTTAAGTCACTCAATGGCACTGAACTTAGTCACATGTGGATGGAGTCAAGAGTTTCCTGTGTAGGTTCCATACTTTTTGGAGTCAGCCAGCCATTTTCTTGTTAAGCTTTGAGGCTGAAGTGTCCTCCGAACCAGTCATATCCCTATCATCTCCAGTCATCTTAGCCAATGATCAGGGATTATTCGATATGTAGTCACAACAACATCTGGGGACTCAAGGTTGAAGAATATTGCTCCAGACCTTCCATCACATCTCCCACCATGCACTGATGAAGGTAACAGAGTGCCCACTCAACCACCTGGAAGAACAGGCACTACTACAGGTGCCAAATTATACCTGTTGCACATTTGTAAAAACTCAATTGTTTACTGTGGCAGCACCTGCACTTTGGAACTCCCTCGCTGACCAAGCAGGAGCTATCACTGGACTCTTTTTGGTATCAGCTAAAGGCTACCCAGATGCTTAGAAAGTTGAGATAATGTTAACCTGTATTTAACTTGTGTTTTCAGTATTGTTTGGATAGTTTTAAGCAGTGCTTTTTTCTGGGGGGATGCAGGGGGACGCATACCCCATAACATTTTGTGAATCTAAGTTTGGCCACACTGAGGGGCAGTATTTCAATATGAGTAGGAAAATGAGAGTACCCCTAAACATTTTTTTTTAGAAAAAAGCACTGGTTTTAAGTATGGTTTTATTTTTTTTTCTTGGCTTTATTGTTTTACCTTTTTGTAAACTGCTTTGAGGTGTATTTTTTACAATCAAGCTGTGCATAAATTTTATTAAATAAATAAACATCTATGCCTCCATATGTAGACATCCAGGAGATTGTCAGTGGGAGAACCTAGGGTGCTGCATCAGCCATGGCTCCATGCAGAAAGCTCTCCTATATCTGAATGTCTTAACAGAAATGGAATTATTAAAAATTGATGTCATAGGTAACTTTCAGAGAATGTGCTGTTCTTCCCTCTTCAGTAATAATACTACCATTCTTCTAAAGCAGCTGTGGTTTAAATGAAAGAATAAAAATTGCAGTTGGTTGCACATCAATAGGCATTCCAAGGTGCACATGGCACTAAGTGACTGCTCTGTTCCCAGTGCTACTCAATTCAGTGGCTGGGAGAGAGATGCAAGTTGCACACATTATATAGGCAGTAGACCACAGAGTGAGGAAAAGGGGTTGGGGTCAATGCTTTCCAAAAACATTTTTAAAAAAAATTCCAAGCATGAAATGGAGAGTCCCAGGAAACCAGTGGACATGAGTTCAGTTTTTGCTTTCTCTGTTGCGTCTGTATGTTTACTACCCTGCACTGAATAGCAACCACGGGAAGCACACGAGTAGGACTTGAGCACACCAGCACTTCCCACTCCCCTGGTTTCCAGAAGCTGCTATTTGGAAGCATGACTGCCTCCAGCTGTGGAGGCAAAGCATGGCCACCATGGCTAGTAACTCCAATTCAAATTAAGGGCCCTGGGGCTGCTTTTAGAAAAAGAGAATCACACTGGCAGATCCAACCACAGATCTTCCGGTAATGTCTTGTTAGGCACTGAACGATTCATGCGCTATCTGCACATGTGAATCAGCTCTGTATGTATTGACAGATGAAATAAACATTTATTTAAAAATCTGATGAGTTTTATTGCCGACATTCCCAATATGTTTTGAGAAAAGGTCTTTGCTACCTAACTAGTCCATCTCCTCCCTTCCTCCCCAAAGCATCCACAGTCGAATATTTCGTTCTGAAGGTTAGAATGCAGTACTGTATTGTATTGCATCGGTTTTGATTTTGGTTTTGGCTGGAGGAGCAGTTCTTAATATTTAAGGTTAAAAAGGTTTCAGTTTTACATTGCAGAGGAATTATGGTAGTTATATATTCTTATATGCACTACCTCAAAAATAAATTATTAATAACTTCAATGTGTTTTTAAGAGGATATCATACTGGTAGCTATTAGATTTATGGAGTTACTTGACCCTGTACTTTTCAATCATAGATAATGTTTCATGAAGTTCGGGTGCCACCTGGTGGGAGTTTGATGTAACTGGGAATAGTGGGGGTTTTTTTGTTTTTAAAAAATATACTGTATATAAAACCTTTACTAGGGATTTCCTCTCTAAACGTCTGAAGGGACTGGGTGTGCTCCCCTTTTTGGCTTTGGTAAAAAAAAATCCATAGAGCTAAAAGGAAATGGCAGGGAATTTATCTCAGCATTGTACTTCAAGCTGGTCTCTTGCTTCTCCTATAGGCACAGCAGCCTTGAATCCAAAAGAGAAAGCTGCCATGCTCTCTGACTCTTTTCTACAGCGTATAAGCAGGCAGCCTCCCTTGTGCTCTGACCTGCCTCCTTTGTGGGTCCTGGTTTCTCAGCAGTGCTCTGTGCGAAGGCCAAAGTTCAGAGCCCCCACCTCTCACCTTCTATTCTGCTCAATTCACTATGTTATAGTTGCAGCGCCCTGAGGCACCCCCTAGGCTCAGCGCCCAGTGTGGTGGAACCATTTACACCACCCTGAATCCACCTCTGCTCCCCCCTGTCACCACTAACAGACTCAAATGAGCCCACATCAGGCAAAACTGCAATCCTAAAAACTAACACTGGCCTTTTGCCTTATTAACTAAAACCAGGGCTCAGGGAGGGGCTTCTCCAACTTGACTGTCTGGCACTGAATCTTCCAATGGCCCAACTGCCTACCTTTTGTTTGGTTAACAGCTCAGCCATCACTAGGCTCCATTCTCCTAGGCTGGCTTGGCTTGTATTTTCAACAATAGTGGTTTGGCACAATTTAGCTCCTCAAACCTTGATTAATTCCAACTTTTATTGGGCCCAGGAATTTAGGGGGTTTGCACCCCACAAACTCATAACAATAATTTTGACAGGGTTAAAGGGAACCTTTACCCTATGAGCCAATGAATCCCTCCCAGCCACTCTGTCAGGTCCTCAGGAGGCTCCGTGTGCCATGTTCCTCATCAACCTCACTCTGCATTCGGGTGGTTTTTCCTGGCTGGAAAGTTTCCTTGAACTGTGTTGAAGCTGCTTGCTTAACTGGATTGAGAGATGGGTGGGTGGGGGACTAGAAGTCTCTGGCTTCTGCATAGCTGAAATGGAACCCATGATATAAAGAGTGACAGCCATTGCTTCACTTTTTGCTACGCCTTTGGCCCTGCTCCACACTGGCATACAAGCCTTGGAAGGTTTTCTACGATGAAATGGATTTTCCTTGCGCTGGAAAATGTCCCCTACACCAGTTTACAACATGATCTTCTGTCTGTGATCCTTTCAACTGGCAATGCCAAGGATTAAGCTTGGAATCTTGCATCCATTATATAGGATGCTACCTCATACCCAGCCAGGGCCCTGGTCCATCAACATGGTGCCCATAGGTTATATGGTACTCACATAGTCCTATCAAGTTCCCAGCCAAGTTCTCCATCCTCCTCACACACCCTGGGTGGAAGTCTAATCTTGAGGAAGTTATCTCAGTCTCTTTAGTAGTTGTACATGTCTGCAAAGGCATTCACCTTCTGTGCTGACCACAGGAGAAAAGCCATGAGACACTATCAGCAGACACTAGTATTGGACAAAAAGGAGAGGAAGAGACAAAAACAGGGGACTAGGATCTGTAGCTTGTTACGGGTGCTAAGAGTTGCTAGGCAACCCTCATTCCCCCCCCCCAGCTACAATTTGCAGAGTTCCCCATGAAGAGAGATTGGTGGTTAAATGACCTTGGGAATTGTGGTGTCATGCATAGAATCTAGTGGCTATTATGTTTAGGAGAGAGACCACTAGAGGGAGTCAACGCAAAGGTTTATAATTTTTCTAGGGATGCTAGACTGCCCAGGTTTGTGGTAAAAATAAATTTCTCCAATGACTATGTAAGCTTGTGCATGTTGCTGTGGATAATCCAAATTTTAGCTCTCCCTTTCCCTGGCTGGAAGAAGGCAAAGGTGGCTCCAGGTTAGTCAGGTACAGCAGCAAGAAGGCAGGGCTGGCAATCACTGCCATTGGCAATTGCCTTTTAAATTCCCTTACAATGCCCCTAGAGCAAATCTATGTCTGGGACCAAGAGGAGGCACTTAGGCCTGCTCCAGCTTTGGGCTGCTGCTGGTTTTCCTTTGCTCTGTGCTAAGAGAACCACTAGGCTTGTGGGAGCTGTAGCAATGAGTCCTTCTGAGGGCTTGGGTCATTGGTTTCTGCCCCATGGTGACAAGCCCTGGTGCTGAGTCTGGAAATAGATAATTCTGCTATTTCAAGATGTGGGTTTTGTTATGTTATTGAGAATACATTAAGCAGCGTTGGAATAATGCTCTAAAAAGGAGCTTGAAATTTTACCTTAAGTAACCACCAAATAATATTACCTGTAATAAATTATAGGCCACAGTAATGCTTTGCTTGCTGCTTTTAACAAAAGCAAAAAATGTGTACTACGTATTTAAAATAATGAAACGCTGCTGTATAATCAATGATTTATTTAACAGCTCATTCTGTGAAATTAGAGGCACAGTTTTGAATATTAGCCAGTGAAGATTTTGGTAAAAGCTAGTTCGCCGTAAGTATCAAGCAGTTTCTTCCTTTATAAGTTCAGCCAGTATCTGGAAACCCTAAAAAAAGAGAGCAAGAACATGCTTTCCCAAAATGCTCATAGTTCATCTTGACAAAACTCAGTATTATTTAACTAATATTCCTGTAGTTAAACAAAGCCCATTCATCTGAAGGAATCCAAAGACGGGCTTTATTGAATAGTGTGAGCAACTAATTTATATAATAGTGTGAGCACCTCAAATGCAGCAAAGTAATGGAAGCAAAGCTGTGGAGGTTTTGTTGCATACCTAATTTATTTCTTCTAATTAAACAAATAAAAGAACATAACAAACATGTACGAGAGAAACAGCTCTCTCATATAGCCATCTTGTCTCTAGACAGATCAAAGAAAAAAAAAACCACATTACTAGGGATGGAAGTCTGGAAGAGTAGCTTCTGCCCCCTCCTTACTCTCAGACAGAAAGTAAAACAAACATGATCTGGTGATCCTTGCAATGGGAGGGATGAAAATGCTGACACTACCAGTATAGATCCTGATCTGCCCATTCCTGTTCTGCGGCCAGCTCAGTTTTGAGAAAGGAAGTTTCGAACAGCCCCACCACACATACAGGCACACACCCTTGAAAGCAGAAAAGTGTCCCATCACGGGAGCATGGGATGAGAGCCAGTAGTCAAGACAGGGAATTTTTCGCCTGCCCTACTTTCTACATCCAACAAGCAAGAACAGGAAGGTGAATTTGCTTTACCTCAGGATGAGAACAGAAGTCGCAGGCCAGCAGGAGGCCCCATTAGCTAAAGTGGTACCTCAGGTTAAGAACAGTTTCAGGTTAAGAACGGACCTCCGGAACGAATTAAGTTCTTATCCAGAGGTACCACTGTATTGGTTTAGTGGCATTAGCACAATGCATTGTAGTTAAAACTTGTCTATTCACTGCTGTGTGTGTGTGCCTTTCTTGTATCTTCTTGGCTTGAGTCTTTCTGTTTCAGCAGCACATGTAAAATACTGGCGGTATATGGAACCGGAAGGACACTTTAAGCATAACCATAAAGTGTAAAAATGATCACTAGGTGGTAAAGTCTACTGGGAGTTCAAAGAGAGGGCAAAATATATGCCACTTCTTTGCAAGTTATCAGACTTTTATTGTAATTTAAAATTCTTAAGACGAGACTGACTGAGAGTATTGGAAAACCCACAATTATTTTAATACAGAAAGAGAAAGTCAATGTTTCTGCAACGATCCAGAAACCGACTGTGATTTATTCTTCGTTTTTGTCAAATGCACCTTGTTCCCTTATTCCTTTTTATTCACAAACATAAAAAAGAAAACAACTTGCACTTAAACTGGAATATTCAAGCCAATGGGTTTGGTAAATTTTCTAATGTTTCCAATGGGGCTTATTTACTTCCACTAATGATTTTCAATAAAAACTGTTTCAGTTGTTTCTTCTGACAGAAAGAGAATGTCAAATCGAATGCAAAAAAAACCCCATTCCCTTCCCCGGAACCAAGATGCAACAATTTGGCTGTAGTCCTATACATAATTAACATACATACACTGAACTCAAGAGGAGTTTCGTCTCTGTAGATGTTTACTGGCACTGGCCATCAAAGTTATGCAGCAACTCAAATTCACGATCTGCACTGTTGCCAGAGATTTCTCTCTGCTGCAGGGCAAACCACCACAGAAGCCCCTGCTGTGCTCGCTGAATTCTGCTGGCAGTAGCTAACAACCTATATCCTTAAATGGGAGTTTTGTAGGCAAGGGCAGAGCAGGGCCATAGATGAATCCACTGGGTCCACAGCAGGTCCATTTCCCTCAGAAGGGCCCAGCTCAGGCCCCTTTGCTGCACCAACCTGAGAGTTGGCACAGCAAAAATGGACAATTCAACTGTTTCTCCCACCCACACATACCCTTGCCCCCTGGCAAGGTTGTGGATCCAGCAATTAATCTACCACTCCATGCCTACTGCTTCATTTAGGATGGTGCAGTCCCATACATGTCTACTCAGGAGGAAGTTCTATTGAGTTCAATGGGATTTAGAATCATAGAATTTTGCTTCTCATGTAATTCCTTTTTCTGGACAACAAGAGAGTGGATTGCACTTACCCGGTCCATTTCATCTGGAGTAGCAAAAGAGTAGGAAACTCTGACATGAGGGGATGGTTCTGAGGGATCAATCATATAAGGTTTCCCAGGAAGTAAAGACACCTAAAAATGTTGATTATTTTTTACGACTTGTTCATTACTTTTATTGCTTGTGTGTATGTAGATGCTACTAATTTATCATGCATGAATATACTGTTTGTAGATCTGTTATTGTCCACATGTTATTTCCGCATGTTTGCGTAGTGAAGTAAATGGAAGGGAGGAGTTATAGAATGGAAATTCAACATATTTCCATCAATGAAAGCATATACTTTAGTCCAACGAACAATCTTTCCCTGTGTCCTATTGCACTAGCCTGTACTGGCTTCCACTAGCAGAACAGGGTAGTTTAATCCGTCCCCTAAATTTTAGTTATCTCAGATAGGAGTAAGAAATAGACCTTTCCATACGTATTAAACCAGAGAAAAACTGCTGAAACAAGTTCATTTCTGGCCTGCTTATTATAGTACACTTTATTCTTGTGGATGATGAGGGCTCATAGAACGCAACCATATTACTTATGTAATATGATTTGTGCTTTAAAAAAAACATAGGAAATTAAATTCAAAAGGATAAATCAATGGTAGTTTTACGGACCTCCACCTCACTGAACTGGATTACTTGGCACGCATTTATATTTTTCAGGAGTATTTCATTTTCAGATGCAGAATTTCTACAAGAAGTTCTTTCGTTTGCATTTTCCTCTGAAATGGCTTTTTGTTGCTAACACAACAATGAGGCTATAACAATAGAACTGGTAGAAGCTGATCTCCACAGAAATTTATGGACTGCATGATTTGGTCAGAAGCAGGGATGCATGAATTTCAGTTTTTTTCTTATTTTTCCAGCCTTAAGATCAATTTTACACATTTCCACACCATTATACAAGTTGTCTTGAGAATTCATCAACATTTTGCTGTGTATTTCTCCCAGTATATACATTTTTGTATGCAACTTGCCAAATAATACACATAATTGGATGTTATTTTAACTAATATATGCATTTTTATGCACACTTTCCCCTAATGTGCCCATTTTTCTACACATCACAGTTGTATTGCAAAATTCAGAGAAATGAAAAATTCAAAGGATACAAATGAGCCTTATCTAATTATGTTTGACTCAGAGTAGGTCTACTGAAAGTGATGCAAATAAATTAATCACGTCCATTAATCTTAATGTGTCTACTTTGAGTAGGATTAAGATTTCTTCGGGAAGTGCAAATTAATCAGGTTTGCAGTAAAATGCAAACTAAAGCAGAATTTCTTTCTCATCCTTATTCAGACATGACAGCCCAGTGACATCAGCCCACTGACTTGTGGCACTTCACCCACCAACTTCACATCATGAAATATTTTAGCCTTTCCCATTACCACAGCAGTAGAGTAATCGATTTTTCTTACCCCCTTTTCCAGTGCTTTTTCCATGACCATCTGGAATGTATCTGAAACCCCCTTAATTTTAATCCACAAAAATAGTCCAGCATTAGGAGCATGCCACTCTGCTAAACCTAGAGGAGAAAGCACAACAACGAAGTGAAAGCATCCTAACGAGCTTATCAAGCGTTTGTGTTTTTAAAATATTCAGTGCTTACGACAAACACAGTGGTGTAGAAGAACACTTCAGCCTTCTTCACCAGGGCCTCAGACAAACAGTTTCTTATGTCAGAGGCCAGATTTTCTATCACACTCAGCCAACTAATAGCTATCATAGTGTTGTATATGTATTGGTTTTGAGCACACATGGTCCTTGGACATTCCAAGGGTGAGTTCACACAACCTGAGCTTCATGCTTACATGTGGGTCAAGTAAACAAGCACTAGAACTGGGGTTTAAAGTTGCCATTTACCATCATACTGTTTTTCTGCTTGACCCAATAGCAAAGCAATGTCTCTTTTTCTGATGATGTAAGACACATCCAGATACTACTATGGTGGTGTTATAATCTGATGAGAGTAAGTAGAAGGCACAAAATGAAACCCATGTCATTTGCTAATCACACATCCAGGAAGTACCATTCCATAGTTCTAGTTGGCTAATTTAGCTATAAGGATCGCCTCTAGCGAGTTCTTTTTACCTTCCTGCCTTCCAGACATACCTGCTTTTACTCTGGAAAACAAGTGATACTGGCTGCAAAGACTATGTTAGAACTGTCACCAGTTCTTGACAGATACCTAACATGATCTAGAGCTCTTAGTCTCATGAAGTGAAGGCCAAGAAATGTGCTCTACAGGCTAGTCTAAATGTTTCATTTCTAAAGCAGATACTGCTTAAAATAATCTCTCTGTGTTGCATTTTCCACAGTAACTCAGAGTGCAGCACCTAATGGACTTTTCTCAGCAGGCACAGTTTCCATGCACTCATTCTTGACTGTGGCTGGTGCCTCCAACACGAACACTCTACATGATGTGGACAAATAACTTGATAAGCCATGCTGTGCACACCAGTGGCGCATGGAGGAGACAAACTCCATTCTGTTCTGAGTTCTTTTGAATGGCAGATGCTTGTTTCAAGGAGCAACTGTTTGACAAGTAGTAATGGCAACCCTAACTCATCCGTTTTCTCACTCCTACCATGTTAAAATCATCTTAGCCTTTGTGTTTCTTCTTTAAATCTGTACAGAATCTTTTGTGGTTTATTTAAAAAAAAATCCGGGCACATTGTTACGTCTAATTGCCCATGGGAGTGAGTTCACTGACCTGTCAGCCATTTGTCTGCTGCAGCAAGCATCGCGTCGCGCTGTTTTTTGTAGAACTCTGCCACTCTGAAAACAAACAATCAATGCTTGCATTCTTAGCGAAGAAAAGTGGGGGTCATGTGTCAGCCGTAGCACTTCCATTAAATTGTTCTAGACAAGTCACATTCAGAACTAATATAACTTGAACAGCAACACAAGGCACTCAATCTCTGTACTGTGGATGGAGACTATGGGCAGTTGCTTAGGTCACACAATAGCTGGCAACAATTTAGTGCGGAAGAAATGGCTAGCACTGTTTCTTCTACTACCCCTTTCATAGATTAAGCAAAAAAATGCATTGTTGCCCACGATCTCAGGTGTGACCAAGAAGACAGCATATATTTGGGTGAGAATTTAATGATTGCATCCTTCCTAGTTAGTATGATTTCTTCAGAATTCATTTTGATTATAAGTTTGAGTGAAAAATAAGCTCCCCAAATTCTCCATTCTATCTGGGTGGGGAAATGGACAGTGTGGGTTTCTTTGTATATTCTCCTACATAACCCTAAGCTGTCCACCTCTTCTACGATGTAGCAGCAGTAAAGTTAATGGGAAACCTCTACCTGCCAAGAACCATAACAGAATGAATGAATGAATGAATGAATGACATCAAGAGAAATAGGGAAGGTAAGTAGAACACATGTCAAGGGGAAGATGGTGCCGTATTTTTTGCTCTATAATACGCACTTTTCCCCTCCAAAAAAGTAAGGGGAAATGTGTGTGCGTCTTATGGAGCGAATGCAGGCTCCATGGCTTCAGCGAAAGCAACGGGAAGCCTCCGGAGCGCAGCGGGAGATCCCGCTGTGCTCCGGAGGCTTCCCGTTGCTTTCGCTGAAGCCAGAAGAGTAAGGGGGGGGGTGCGCACGGCCCCCTCTTGCTCTCCTGGCTTCGCTTCACTGGAGAGGCGCTGCACAGCTTTCCCTCTCTGCACAGTGCCCCTTCAACGAAGCGGGAGGAGAAATGGAAGGGGCTCTGTTTCTCCTGCCGCTTCGCTGAAGGGGCGCTGCACAGAGAGGGAGAGAATTCCCCCCCCCTTGTTCTCCCCCTCTATTATCAATTATTTCAAAATAGAATGAAGACGGTAGGACCATGGCGAGAGCTTTCACAGGCAAAGGTGCTTTTTTCTGATCTGGTGCTATGAGATACTGTGGTCAACTGTTAACCGTATCCATTAGCTATAGCCTGAGCCCGGTTTTTGCCGGGGAGGGTGGGATACAAATAAAAATTATTATTATTATTGTTGTTGTTGTTGTTATTATTATTATTTCTTCTATGGAATTGATGAAAGTGACACTTACAGCCTATGGACTGTGAGCATGTTAGAAACATAAGGAGCTGCCTTATACTGAATCAGACCACTGGTCCAACTAGCTCAGGACTGCTTGCACTGACTGGCAGCAGCTCTCCAGTGTTTCAAGCAAGGAGTCTCTTCCAACCCTCCCTGGAGATGCCGGGGATTGTACCCGAGACCTTCTGCATGCAAAGCTGATGCTCTGCCACTGAGCTATAGCCCTTCCCCAAATGCTAGCATTTTCATAATCCCCTTACCGGTCTGCATTATCCAGAAAACCCTTTTGCCCCCACTTCTCAAGAAGTTCCATTACGATGACCTGCAAGAGAAAGCAAGAAAGCACCCAATGTGATGTCACAATCTAAATAAAATATGCAAGATTTGTGTATTCACCGTTAGTTCCCAGGATTCCTTGGAGGGGAACCATGACTGGGAGTGCTTCGATTTTTAGCTGAATTCTATATATGTTTATTTAGGATTAAGCATTCAATTGGGGCCCCACTTTCAATTAAGTGTTGTCAGGATTACAGCTTTAGTTTTGGAAAGCAATCCAATATATGACTAATGCTTACCTGTGCAAAAGTGTTGGGTTGCATTGTTGAGGCCTGAGTATGTAGAACAATCTTGTCTATAAAAGGTGCAGGTCCTGTTATAAAGCCTATTCTCAACCTATAGAAAAGAAAATACAACAAAGAGTTGAAAGACACACACTCTACTTAATTTGGCAAGTCCCCAGTTTTAAATTTTGTCCTTTTTTGTTTTGCACATAGTTTTGTACAATGCCGTCTGGATTTTGTGAGGGCTGTCAAATCACTGAGAACACCCATAGCCGTGCAACGAGCATTTCAATTTGCAGTATTTGACAGATTCAAATATCGTTATGGTTTCAAAATCTCCATCGTCACACTAATTTAAGGTGATAGGGGCATTGCTACAGGGAGCATGTTCTGCGCTTTCATATTCTACTCACCCGGAAGAGATAATTTTAGAGAATGAATCACCTCTGATGACTCGACCATCAACATCCATTGAAAGAAATGATGGCGCTTTAGTCTTAAAATGCAAATGACATAATATTATTAAAACAAACCAATATTCAGGTTTCGCTTGGCACATGAACTATGTGGAGGTGGGATAAGAACATAAGAAGAGCCGTGTTAGATTCAGGGGCAAAGATGTCAGAGGCAAAGGGATGGAGGCTGTCAGTGTTATTTACTGCTGAAGTGGTCCACCTAGTCCAGTACCTAGTCCAGCAGGTTCTGAGCCACATAGCCATTTTCAGCAACTGGTGTACTGCTTCCAACAGTGGAGGCAGAACATAGACATCAAGATTAGTAACCATTAATATGATAGCAAACTGTTCCCCTGAAAAGTACTGTAAGAAATGGGAAGGGGAAAAATTGTATTTCTTTCCTACCTAGAAGTTGTACAAATGGTGCATAGAACTTTTTTAAAAAATGAACCAACCTCTAGACACCAGCACAGATCAATGGAGACATTGACTGTCATCATCATGCCAAGCCTACGGATCAATGGAGATATTGACTATCATCATCATCATGCCAAACCTGGGCCTAGGAGAGCCCAGGTGTGTGTAGGGGCCTCTGAGCTGATCCTGCAGTTTCTCCAGGATCTGGAGGACCTTTCCCCACAAAAGACAGAGGGCCATATATTGCCACTGTGAGTGTACTCTCTACAATGCATTGAAAGCACCTTGCACCAATCATGGGGCTTGCACATAGGCCAGGAAAGTGGCTTTGGGGAAGCTAGAGGATGAAGTAATCAAGGTGTTAGAGGCAAAGATACTGGAGCTATCAAAGCATTAACTACTGGTCTAGCATCGTTGCTAGAAAGAAAAATATGACCATTGTGCTTAGACATGATGGAGGACATGAAAAACTGGATATTCTTAAAAGAGACAAGCTAGGGCAAGGCAGAACTGTGTGACATGTGACTCAAGACTGCCAGTCATCTGCTCTTGGCTTGTCACCTGCTTTTGGGGGAAGAATTGTGACTCGGTAGTAGAACACCTGTTCTGCATGTAGAAATTCCCAGGTTCAGTCCTTGGCATCTCCAGGTAGGGCTGGAAGAGACGCCTGACTGAATTCCTGGAGAGCTGCCAACATTCAGTGTAGACAATACTGCTCTTGATAGATGAATGGGATGACTTGGTTGTAAGGCTTCCTATATTCCTATGTTCTTGGGCCTAAGTGCTTAAGGAGCCTTAAAATCTAGAGGCTGAACGTGCTTTTCTTTTGTGTCAAGAAGAAAACATACACAGAGCAAACCAATTAGTACATTTAGTTTGGTAAGCGCTATTAGTTTGATTTTACCTTCTGAAACTGGATGAAATAGTATGGATCATCTTCTATTATAAGAAAGTTGTATTCGTGGGCAAGCTAAAAGGTAAACCAACAAGAAAAGAAGAGAAAATAATTTTGTGGAATGATCAGTGAATACACAACTATGGTTTGCCAACAAGCCAAAGCAATAGTGGTCCTATCAAACATGAGAAAACCTTGGAAAATTGATGCGTCCTAAGTTTATGTTCATGTTTCCCATTTTGTGCTGAGTCTATGAACAGTCACCTCAAGTGGCGGCAGAGGGGAGGAGGAGGCAGGGGGCACCATGTTGTTTTGCCTCAAGTGGGAAAATGCCCTGGGCTGGCCCTGCTTTCTGTGAACTCTCCTTTCTGCCTTCTTCCTTGCTGTTCCAGAGCAGTGAGGATGGGAGCACAGGGAATTTGCTTAACTGTTTTGGGAAAGAGACATCTCTCTCATCTGCCACTGCATTTGTAGTACTGCCAACTAGTGCTCTCCTTTTTTGGATAAAATAAAATAAGGTGTCAGTACATAGGATGCAAAGAGGAAGAAGAGGTGACCACACTCCATATTGGTAGGTAGTTTCTTAAAATAAGCAAAAAAAGAAGAAGAAGCAAGCACAGTTGTCTATACTAAATTGCCGCTCTGTATACCTGCCTAGGGTTGCTTAGTGGAAATGCTGTCTTTGTTTCTACTTAAGATGATGCCCGGGTACCAAGGATTACCTGGTAAATCTCTTTTTTGCGTTCCGCTGTCAGGGAGCTCCCAGAAGGATTGCCACCATTAGGAACACTGTACAGGAACTTAGGGGGCTTGTCCGTGAGCTTATGCACATTGTCTGATTTCCACCTGGAAAGAATCTCCTTCAAGCCTTTGGGAATGATGCCATGTTCATCACTAGGTACTTTGATGATGTTACATCTCAAGGCTTTTAGCTGTTTATGAAAAGAAACATGGTATTACACATAATTTATTATCCAATCCACAGAGGCCATTAAAACCAGGACATTATTTCAGCAGCTAAGCTCGAAACCACTCATATACAGAAGTCATATACTGTGCCCCTTAAAACTGGTTCTGAAATGTCATGTGCTGATGGTAGTAGGCTGAGGGAGGATGGATCGCAGTTGGAGGATGGATGGTGGCTAACAGATTGAGGTTGAATCCTGACAAGAAAGAAGAACTGTTTTGGGGGGACAGGAGGTGGGCAGGTGTGGAGGACTCCCTGGTCCTGAATGGGATAACTGTGCCCCTGAAGCAGTGTTTCCCAACCTTTTTTGGGAAAAGGCACACTTGTTTCATGAAAAAAATCTCGAGGCACACCACCATTACAGCCCCGTGACGTCAGCGTGCAGCGTCACGCCGGGAGGGACGCACGAAAGTGTAAGTTTCAATTTTTCCCCCTCCCCCTTGCCTTCCTTCTGTGCCAACCGCCAAAAAGCCAAGAAAAAAGCCAAGACTTTAGGGCAGCAGGTCGACACGGAAGAAGCTCCTACCTAAGGACAGGTGCGACGGCCGTGTCCTCTTCTGCCACACTTGGCAGCCCTGCCTCACGGTCGTGACTCCCACCCTGATTTCTCCCCGCAGGTCGAGCGGCACAGGCAGCCCAATGTGTCCAGCCCAGACACAAGCCCCACTTCCCCACTCTAGATCCTGAATGTGACCAAGTGCTCTGGACTCCCGAGCAGGGTGGGAAAGAGGACTCGCATCTGGTAGCCTCCGGGCTCCTCGCCTGCTCGAGGGATGGCATTGCAGGCAAGCTGCCGGCCGTCGCCATCGCCGCCCCCTCATGCGAGTGGACCTGCCCGGAGTGGTGGGCCGGGGGAGGCTCGCTCTCTGTGGGGATGTGGCCCGCACGCGCGGCCCCGCTTCCTCCTGCCCAGGGCTGAGCTCCTTACCCGCGATCTCGGTCTCGCGCACGCGGATCCCACTTATTCTGAAGCTCGCACCACTAGCCGGGGCTCTCACACCGTGCCAGGGCGAGGCGGCGCGGCCCACTGACGTCATCGCGGCTCGCCGCCGCCCTCGACTTCCCTGTTCCCTCCCCTCCCTCGGGTCGCCGTGGTTACCGAGGACTGCAAGCTGCTCGGGCGAGCGTGGGGCATTAAGTGGGAGAAGGAAAATTAAAATTAAAACTCGCCTGAAGGCCGCCTCTCCGGATACAGTGGTGCCTCGCAAGACGAAATTAATTCGTTCCGCAAGTCTCTTCGTCTTGCGAGTTTTTCGTCTTGCGATGCACGGTTTCCCATAGGAATGCATTGAAAATCAATTAATGCGTTCCTAGGGAAACCGCCTTCAGACCAGGTCCGGGGACAGTCTGTCCCCCGACCTCTTCTGAAGGCTGGGGGGGGGGACAAGGGCTTTTCTTCCCACCCCTAGCATTTTAAAAAACCCCGGGACAGCGGAGGACTTCTCCGCTGTCCGGGGCAATCTTAAAATGCTGGCGGGCGGCATTTTAAAATCGCCTGGGACAGCGGAGGACTTCTCCGCTGTCCGGGGCGATTTAAAAGCCCCTGGGAAGGCAGGCAGGGGGGACAAAGATTTTCGCCCCCCGCCCGCCTTCAGAAGAGGTCCTGGACCTCTTCTGAAGGTGGGCGGGGGCGAAAGTCTTTGCTCCCCCCTGCCTGCCTTCCCGGGAGAGCGGAGAAAGGCAGCGCGTTTCTCCGCTGTCCCGGACGGCTTTTGAAGGCAGGCTTTTGAAAGCCGTCCGGGACAGCGGAGAAACACAGCGCGCCCTTGCCGCTGCCCCCCGACTTGGCTGGAAGGCTGGCGGGGGGAGAAGCCTGCTCCTCCCCATCGCCAGCCCCGCAAACTTGGGGGACAGCGGGAGAGGCGCAGCGCGCCCTTGCCGCTGCCCCCCGACTTGGCTGGAAGGCTGGCGGGGGGAGAAGCCTGCTCCTCCCCATCGCCAGCCCCGCAAACTCGGGGGACAGTGGGAGAGGCGCAGCGCGCCCTTGCCGCTGCCCCCCGACTTGGCTGGAAGGCTGGCGGGGGGAGAAGCCTGCTCCTCCCCATCGCCAGCCCCGCAAACTCGGGGGACAGCGGGAGAGGCGCAGCGCGCCCTTGCCGCTGCCCCCCGACTTGGCTGGAAGGCTGGCGGGGGGAGAAGCCTGCTCCTCCCCATCGCCAGCCCTGCAAACTCGGGGAACAGCGGGAGAGGCGCAGCGCGCCATCCCGCTGTCTCCCGACATGGTTTGGAGGCTGGCGGAGGGCTTCCTCCTCCCCCAGCCCCGCAAGCTCCCAGAGCGATGCCAAAGCTGCGCGCAGCTTCGGCATGGCTCTGGGTCCCGTTCTGGGGGAGGGGGAAGCTCGGGCTTCCCCCGCCCCAGCCCCACGCCTGGCGGTGGGGGAATAATTTTTTCCCCCTTTATTCCCCCCCCCGCCAATTTTTCCCCGCGGCACACCAGGCAACGTCTCGCGGCACACTAGTGTGCCGCGGAACACCGGTTGGGAAACACTGCCCTGAAGGACCAGGTGTGCAGCCTGGGAGTCATTTTGGACTCGCAGCTGTCCATGGAGGCGCAGGTCAATTCTGTGTCCAGGGCAGCTGTTTACCAGCTCCATCTGGTATGCAGGCTGAGACCCTACCTGCCCGCGGACTGTCTTGCCAGAGTGGTGCATGCTCTAGTTATCTCCAGCTTGGTCTACTACAACACGCTCTATGTGGGGCTACCTTTGAAGGTGATCCGGAAGCTACAACTAATGCAGAATGCGGCAGCTAGACTGGTGACTGGGAGCGGCCGCCGAGACCATATAACATCAGTCTTGAAAGACCTACATTAGCTCCCAGTACGTTTCCGAGCACAATTCAAAGTGTTGGTGCTGACCTTTAAAGCCCTAAACGGCCTCAGTCCAGTATACCTGAAGGAGCGTCTCCACCCAGCACCAAGGGCCTTCTGGCGGTTCCCTCATTGCGAGAAGTGAGGTTACAGGGGACCAGACAGAGGGCCTTTTCGGTAGTGGCGCCCGCCCTGTGAAACACCCTCCCACCAGATGTCAAAGGAAAAAACAACTACAAGACTTTTAGAAGACCTTCAGATGTCCTATTTAGGGAAGCTTTTAATAGCTGAAGGACTATTGTTTTTTAATATTGTGTTCAAAGCCACCCAGAGTGGCTGGGGAAACTCAGCCAGATGGGCAGGATATTATTATTATTATTATTATTATTATTATTATTATTATTATTATTATTACAGTATAAATGCTAGTGACAATTAGGGATGCACAAAGATTCATCCTAAGAGGGGATTGAGACTTTGTAGGCTCTCCAAACCCTCCCTGCCAGAAATGGATGCTAACAGCATCATTTTCCCATGAGGGATGTTGAGACGTGTCGTTCCAGCCTCTTTCCTGTGTAAGAAATGGATGCTCTAAGTACCCATGCTGACATTGCCACCTTTGCTGCTGTCCCTTTACTGGGATAGAGGCAGGGGAAGGGATGGTGGCAGTGGGTGCTCAGAGATTCAGCTGAGCAGGCCTTGATGCAAGCCTGATTATGGCAAGCTTCAAGTTAAGGGGCTTGCTTGGACGGGTCTAGTCATGAGAAATGAAACTGAGCTGCTTGCTATGCAAATATTCCTGTTGATTCTTCACAACATCCACATTGACAATGGGAAAAAACCACGAAGAACAGGCAAACACAAGGGAGGCAGTGGTAGGCAAAAGAAGGCAGCTCCTGGTCCTGTTTTGTAAACTTAGGAATTCAAAATGGAGGCTCTGTTAGTGTGGTTCCGGACATAGCTCAACAACTTTTCTGTCTGGGTTTTCACCACTGTTTGAAAATGGTAAACCTAGCTTAGATGCATAGCTTGTAGCCACCAGAAGCTTTGCATCCAGCATTGTGGGCCTGATTCTATGGAAGCCCCTCCCAGCTGAGATCAGACAGACCCCTCTCCCTGTTTCAGGTGGTTGACAAGGACCTCCCCCTACCATCAAGCAGGCATTTTCAGGAAGTTTTCTGTTTTTATGATTAATTGATTTTATCCATATTTTGTAATGTACACCACTTAGAGACTGGGATAATTAAGTAGTATATAAATACCTTAAATTAAATAAAACACTTGTTACTTTTTGATACAATTCTTGTCATACATGGCCAACCACTCACGGAGTCCCAATATGAACTTTTACAATGGTGTGTTTATGCACCAAAGAACTAGAGTTGGCATAGCAGCTTGCTGTGATGGGACCCCAAAGATAACTCACTGCTAACATTGCCCCGTGGAAGTTCGGCTCCTCTACAAGGACGTTGTCGCCTGGGTTGATGAGCATATCAAACGCCTGCAAAAAAAGATCAAAAAGGTTTGAAACAGTGAGCATCCTACTGGATTTTAGTGGGTGGTGTGGTGGAGTCCTATCCAAGTTTTAATATTAAAACCTAATACTTTACCAATGTTGATGTATGACATATCACCACCACCTCAACCCCCATAGCAATTAGGCTTGGCAAACAAAAAGAAAAGTCCTGTTTTTCTCTCTCAAGCTAATTGCCACAAAGGCAGGTTGGGGCCCAAGAAGTGAGATGGCAGGGCACATTCAAGTCATCAGGTCATATATGGCCCACAGGTTGGCCAGCCCCCCCAATCTAAATGGTGACATTATCTTGCTCTTCTTTTGACACCAGCCAGGAAGGCTGTCCTGAATGCCTTGTCTGTATTTGAGATATACAGCAGAGACATGTTAGGAGATCTTTCTCTGGTTATATCTGGGCTGTGGAAATCATTGTCCCTTGATTCTGGCTTAATGTTTTTGGGCTGCTTTCTTAAGATATCCCATCAGAAGTTCAATTTATCTGGCTGACAATTGATATCTATCTGCTTCCTGGTTTTAATCTTTTCTTCCATTAGTCATGTGTTTTTGTTTTAAAACTGGTTTTGATCAACTTTTAACCGTGTAGTATTTGGCCTTGGGTCCTTCTCAGAAGTGGACAACCAGAATTAATCTCATTTTATAAATAAATAAAAATGATAAAATTGCACTACCCCTAACTTAGATTTTACGCAACTCCCCCCCCCCTTGAGCATATAGTTTACATATAGATGCTAAGCACAAGCAAGCATTACATAACTAGAAAATAGAAATAGTTAGTAATGCAGAAGATTAAAAACAAAGATGACAAGGAGCAGATCTCTGGTGAATAAATCATTCTATGATATGTCCCTGAAGTCAATCATCCCTATAAAGAACAATGGACGTGTATCTATTTATATTTAAGAATCAGAGTTTAGAACTACATAATTGGAAAGCTACATAACTGGAAGCAATTTCATCTGGTTCTGTCTCCACTGAGGACAGGGGTGCCAACTTGAATAAAAGATTGGGGGGGGGAGCAGGTAAGATGTGGCACACACACCCCATTTGAATGCCCATGGCCATCAACTTTGGACCCTCCCCCGGCACCCTCAAATATTTTATTGGGGTGTGTGCGAAGGGACCTCAGTCTCTCGGACTCCTATGACTAGGGACAGGAGTCAACAGTTTCCATGAGCTTAATTCTGAAAATAGGATAGTTCTGCTGGATGAAGGGGAGAAGTAATTTTAATTTCTCCTCCTCCTCCTTCTCCTCCTCCTCCTCCTCCTCCTTCTCCTTCTCCTTCTCCTTCTCCTTCTCCTTCTCCTCCTCCTCCTTCTCCTCCTCCTCCTCCTCCTTCTCCTTCTCCTCCTCCTCCTTCTCCTCCTTCTCCTCCTCCTCCTCCTCCTCCTCCTGCAAAGCTGCTCAAGAAAGTTGGAGGACCCTCTTGAACAGTGTAGGAAGCAGTGTGAAGGACTGAAGGAGGAATGGGGAGTTGATAAAAATGCCTTCCCTTCTACCATTGGAGACCTCCACTGAATCTCAGACCTTTCCATGGAAGGGAACAACAACAACAAAAACTTGATGGAATAATACACTTGTATTTTCCAATAGTGCACATGAAGCCGTCATGTCAAGTCTTTATTTTCAAGTATTAACTTTGCTCAACTGATTTGATATGATAGGGAAGAATCATCAGCAGAAAAATATCCTTCCGATTTAATTGCTATAGAGGGACTCAGTGGGCATTTGGCTCAGTTGTCTGAACTGACATGGTTCTGTTGACCTTTGAATCTCTCGTACTTTAGTAAGGCCATCCTGGCTGCCTGAAGTGAGACATATCTTCATTTGTCCTTTCTCAGGAGCATACGTCGCTGTTGGTGGGTTGTGGAGCTTCATTTGCAAGTCTCTGAACCAAGACAATAAGTTGTGCATTCTGGAAGACAGAGATTTTATTCCTCTTTTTAAATATCCTCAGTTCTTCATGCATAATATACCACTTCAGGTTAGCTTGAAGTTGGTGCGATGAAGAAAAAAACAAAACAGAAATACATAAACATCTTAACACTTACTTAGAAATGGATATGAAAAACTTATTTACGTGGACCAGGAGTGTGTTCATTAGTATCATTTTAAATAACAAGTCTTTTGAATAAATGACTAGGGAGTTGCTTGAGCTAATTAAGAACATAAAAAAATCCTTGCTGGGTAAGGCGAAAAGGGCCATCTATCCCAGCATCCTGGGCTCACAGTGGCCCACCAGATGTCTGTGGGAAACTCTGAGCACTCTCCCCCCAAAGTTTTATATTAAATTGTAATTTATTTTGTATCTGTTGTGCATCCATCTATGGACAGGGTTCCCTGGAAAGAGGGATTGTTGGTTAAACCACTCTGGGAATTGTAGCTCTGTGTAGGGAATAGGGATTTCCTAAGAACACTCAGTACCCCAAACAAACTACGATTCCCAGGATTATGTTGCAGAATACACCTGCAATAAAACACCAGTCTGGAGGGGCCCTTTGCATGATTTTTCATCATACCCCTCTGTAGCACTGTACTGAAGAGCTCTCTTCATCAGTTGTTCTCCAATTTCAATGGTGCTTCCATCATTGAGGGTTATAGTTGCTGTTTTCATTGGGAAATAGTTAGGGTTTGGCATACCCCCACTCAACATGATGACGGTAGACGCTGTCATCTTCTTTTCCAGTTCATCTGCCGTTAACACGAGTAAAAGAATATTAGTTAATAAGTTAAAAGATGTAATTAACAGAAAAAATGAACAAAGCTAGAATTTCAGAGGAAGCCAAATGTGAAAGAAAATGCTGTTCTTATCTACTGTGTCACAGAACACTTTTTAAAACATCAGTGTTTTTGAAATACAAGGGAATATTAAACATCACAATTGTGTTCTATGGTGAATGTAATCCAGTTTTGATTTGTATAAGCAGCTATCTTGGAGAAGCCCATATGTTGTGGTTTTCTAGTAGTTGGGGAACACAATATGGTGGTTGAAGGATGCATTGTCTACATGATTAGGTATATCATGAAATAAGGGCTTCTGTAGGAGTGAGGGTCTTAGCCGAAAGTAGAAACAAACCTAGAGGTTTTCCCATTCATGTTTGATTTCATTGTGAACAGCATGTTGGTGTTGTGTACCCCCCCCATACAGATAAAACACGTCCTCCATCCTCAAGAATCCTGGGAACTGTAATTTGTTAAGAGTACTGGAGATTGTAGCTCTGTGAGGGGGCAAACTGCAATTCCCAGGATTCTTTGGGGGTGGGTAGGCGGGGGCTTTAGTGATGTATGGAAGTGAGAGCTGGACCATAAAGAAGGCTGGTCGCCGAAGAATTGATACTTTTGAATTATGGTGCTGGAGGAGACTCTTGAGAGTCCCATGGACTGCAAGAAGATCAAACCTATCCATTCTGAAGGAAATCAGCCCTGAGTGCTCACTGGAAGGACAGATCCTGAAGCTGAGGCTCCAATACTTTGGCCACCTCATGAGAAGAGAAGACTCCCTGGAAAAGACCCTGATTTGGGAAAGATGGAGGGCACAAGGAGAAGGGGATGACAGAGGATGAGATGGACAGTGTTCTTGAAGCTACCAGCATGAATTTGACCAAACTGCGGGAGGCAGTGGAAGACAGGAGTGCCTGGTGTGCTTTGGTCCATGGGGTCACGAAGAGTCAGACACAAGTAAACGACTAAACAACAACAAGAAGGCGGGGGCTTTGAATGTGTGCTGTGTAAGCAGCCTTAGAGTCAGATAGATCCAATTCCATTACAGATAAAACACCTAAATAACCAAAAACTAACAGAAAATGAAATAGGAGTTGAGTGCAATTCTATACATATCTATTCAGAAGAAAGTTTCACTGCATTCAGTGGAGCTTTTTCCCTGCTGAGTGTGTGTAGGCCTACAACCTAACTCTATTAGTTTTTACTGTTATGCAGTGATGTGTATATCTATGATGTTACTGAGCAGTAAATTACAGCATTACAAGGTTGCCTTATATACCTGGCTACATTATTTACTCTGATTGGGAGCAACTTGCCAGGGTCTCAGGCAAAGGTCTTTCACATCACCTGTTGCCTGGTCTTTAAAAAAACCGGAAATACTATCAGGGATTGAACATGAAACTCTGTGCAAACTATCTGCTGTACCACTGAGGTGCGGTACCACCCAATTTATTATTCATTTATTTCATAAAATTTATATGCCGCTTGATTGTAAAAACCCCTCAAAGCGGTTTACAAAAAGGTAAAACAACAATAACCCAATAGCATTATTTTTTCGAATTGGAACTCGTACTCTCTCTCAACAAGACTTTTCTGAGCATCAGCATATTCTATAGATATAAAGCCAGGAGAAAATGAAAATTGTGAAGCAAATCAGGTGATGACTGGAAATTGCAACTACTCACTTGAAAGTCTTGCAACGTTTGGTTTCCTTGCTGCACTTATATCAGACAGGAATTTGGAATAATCCATTTTGATGTGACAAGCAGTGAAAAGGTTCCTTAGATTTCCTTAGAAAACTGCGGTAGAAATTAGACACAGATAATGATTACACTTGTCTGTTCTGATCTCTTTCTCTTAGAACAGAGAATGCTTCAGTACTTTATGTTCAACTGCTCACGTGTTCTACTTTATAACTTGGCACAAATAAGAGCAACCAAATATCTTTTCAAATCCAATATTAACTAAGGGGCATTCTCTGAAGCTGAGGAACACAGGGCAACCTAAAACAATTTAAAAACGCAATGTCATTAAATACAGTAAAAAAAATAATCACATTAACAACAGGCAGAACAACAAGTTCCAAACAGAGTTAAAATCACCATCAATTTTTCTTCTTTAAAAAAATGTATTTATCAGGGATGACAAACTTCTATAAAGTAGGACTGTGCTAACTCTTCATGCATGAACATATCAAGGAAAAATATTGTGCTTTTGAGAAGCAAAAAAGGGTTTCCCGACATCAATCTCTCCCTCTCCCTCTCCCTTTCCCTCTCCCTTGGGGGGGTGTGTGTGCGTGTTATATTCACACCTGTTCTTGGCCACTGTTTCCCAAAGTTGCGACTGCTTCAGCTCCACTCTGCCCCTCTGATGTATAGTTCCAGGAGTGGTCCTACTCAACCAGGGACTACAAAATGAGCATGATAATTCTACTAAGTGGAAACATAGTTGAGCTAAGGTGAGTGTAATATTTTCTAGACTAGCGATGTGGGTCATTGTAACCAGCCAGGAATTCATTGCCTCTCTAAGCAGGCAAATCATTTGCAGATGAGAATCATTCAGAGTGTGGATTACTGTTTTTCAAGTGGCAGTTTGCCACCACTGAAGTGGCAAAATGTTTGTTCACCGCAAAAGAGACGGGCGATTCCCTCTCCCCTTGACAAAATGTGAACTGGCTAGGGGGGATTATCTCTCTCCCCCCCCCCCCCCGTTTGGTGTGTCCCCAACCTATTTTCATGGGGAATAAAGGGACATCCATTTGGCTTAGCCTTGATGTAAATAAAATCAATATTGTTAGCTTCTGAATAAATCGTTAACACAAAAAAATTAATAAAAGTATGAAACTTACAGTCTGCAGCTTGATGAAGGAAAAAAGGGCAGGAAGACCAAATGCTCCAACAATAACAAAAAACAACTTTTTTTCTTCAACCCTCAGGCACAAAGAAAGAATAGTAGCAATGCCGAAAGCTGTTATTCTCCTAAGGTGAATATAATATAATTGTGTATTTCTCATAGCTTCCTTCAAAACCATAAATCTCTAGCAAACTTTGCCCAAGTACTTAATAATTTACCAAGGAAAATCAGTTATGAAAATTTAGACTCTGGACTTACATCAGGAATAGCTCAGCCTTTCTCCTTATCTTCTCTCAAAAGCTAGTTGGCTCCAAGTGTGAAACAGCAGCCCCTTCAAGCTCGTCTACCCAATAGTTCACACAATCTCCACAGATAAAACTGACCCAATGCCTATATTGACTAATAATGGCACCAATTAGGGTGCCATTGCAGAGAGAGAGCCCTCTCTCTGACTGCTGAATAAGAGATAGTTCTTTTGATGCAAAACAGCCAGGCAGACCTCAACTTCAGATCTTAATAGACAGACAGAACTATGTGGAAGGAGCTGCTTCTTTGAATAAGCCCCTAGTTGTTTGGGACTTTATAAATTAGATCTTCATAATACCTTCTGAAAGACAGGTAAATGACCATGTGTATTCCTGCATATGAGGGACGCGGGTGGCGCTGTGGGTTAAACCACAGAGCCTAGGATTTGCTGATCAGAAGGTCGGCGGTTCAAATCCCCACGACGGGGTGAGCTCCCGTTGCTCGGTCCCTGCTCCTGCCAACCTAGCAGTTCGAAAGCACGTCAAAGTGCAAGTAGATAAATAGGTACCGCTCTGGCGGGAAGGTAAACGGTGTTTCCGTGCGCTGCTCTGGTTTGCCAGAAGCGGCTTAGTCATGCTGGCCACATGACCTGGAAGTGTACGCCAGCTCCTTCGGCCAATAAAGCGAGATGAGCACCACAACCCCGGAGTCAGTCATTACTGGACCTAATGGTCAGGGGTCCCTTTACCTTTACCTATTCCTGCATACAAAGGTGCTCTCCTCATTCAACCCTTGAAAAGTGTTTCCCGCTGCATTTTACTTAAAAAAGAGAGAGAAACTTGGCATCTTGAATGGCCAAAGCTATGGAATGTTAGCTTAAACATACTGTTATGATCCTCGGCGAGGTACTCTCCTTAAAGGTAATGAAATAAGCTGGGTGGCAGTAAGAATGCAGATCTCTCTCCCTTTTTAAGCCTTCAATGTATTGCTCTGCATCTTAAATAAGGACAACCAAGAAATCAGTAAGCTTTTAATGATAGTTCTTGATGAATTAGTAGCTTTTCTGAGAAAGAATCCAGTACCACCCCACTCCCCCCGTTCTTAAAACAACAACTTAGTTCTTTGCTTCTCTGGCAAGAGAAACCATAGCCTATGCTGTATTGAACTGCATGTTCTATAACTAATTAATTTGCTGAGTTCTTAAACAATTACTCTGTCTATCAAGCACGAAACATGGCTGTATGCCCAGTCATGACCAACCTTTGATTCAATACTACTTAGCAATCATTTATTTGCTTTTTTAAGGTGTCCCAGGGGCCACTGAATAGGTCAGGACCTTCCTCCAATGCCAGAGATCCATTATCAGAACCTCCCTCTCCAATGCCTTGGCTTCCAACTTAGGTTGGAACTCTAACATCAGTAGGGCAAGATTCTGGGTAGCGGCGGGCGAAACAGTCAATTTTGGTTTCATCCCATTTAAGTTAAATTCCCACATTCCCACCTCACTTTGCAAATGTTCAAAATACAAGAAGTTCCCATAAAAAGTCACCTGCATTTTAGTGCAAAATTCTCCTAATAATGCATTTTTTTTTGTTTTCCCCAATATACATATTTTTGGCAAATTAATTTTCCCTAATAAAATTCATCTTTTGTATGTTATTTTCAAAAATATATGCATTTTTAAAAATACACTTTACCCTACTATGTGCATTTCTCTACACATTACATGGCTGGGGAAATCAAACTGTAAAATTCGGAGAAGTGTGAATTTCGAAGGATGGCTGTGTTTTGGTTTGTGCATTGTTTTGGAAAGTCTAAAACAGGTAGGTTTCCCTTTAAATGAAAACTGAATCTACCCCCCTCTCCCCATCCTTGTGTCAAGGCCATTCCGGGTCATTCCAGGCAGCAACTGTATCCGAATACTGCCTGCCAAACTTGGAGAAAATTTAGACACTTAGGCTGCCTAAATCTTTCCCTCCCCTTACCTATTGTTTCCAATGTGGCAACCCTCCTCTTCCCTCACTCCCATTCTGCTAGCACCAATCCAGCAGAGATGGAGATTAAAGTGGTAGGTTCACCTTTGGGTTTCACTACACACCCCACTTAGCATTGCATTGTTACCATATAATTTATCCCGCTTTTCAGACAATTGTTGCTTTCCAAAGTGACTCGCATCAGTTTTTGAAAAGGGAAAGGAAAGAGAAAGAAGCCCTGCCAGCCAGCCAGCTTGCAAACCAGAAAGACGAAGGTATACAAGGGGTGGTGCGCTTTAAAATGTTCGACATTTAAAGAAATGAGCTTTTGAGGAATGACAAGGAGAAAGGTCAAGCGTGCTACATGTTGAATTAATACATATCACCGAAGTGCGAGGGTGGGTGGAATATCCTATCAGACAATAAGTCCAGGGTCTAAACCAGTACAGGGTTACCTACCTAGCCTGTATTCAACCTTTTGTGCTGCTTAGATCTTGTCTTCCAGTTTCCGTTATCTAATCACTCAGATTCTGTAAATGAATGTTGCAGCATTGGGATGCTGGCACACATGCTTAGTTTATATCATTTATTATAAACTGGATGCATTTACAGTATTTTTTTATAGTGGACATGTTTCTTTTCTGCTGTTTTTGGAGTCTCCTATTTTGATAAATGGGGATAAAACACATGAATCGCTACAGAACAGTTGAAGATGGGAAGTGTTGGATGTTGTGCAGTGAAGACCTTGCTCATCGCTCCCCCTCCCCCACCATATCTTGTTTAGTACTAAATGCTGTATTATAAAATGTTTCAAAACTTTAGCTGACCTTATCTGGGACAAAGATATGGTCCACCATCAATCCTGATTACAGGACAACATTGAGAGAATTGCGGTTATACGAAGTGTTAAAAGTTAAAAGCCATCCATTAAAGTCCTAGTTTTTCCCCAGCAACAAAACATTACTGATTTCCTTTCACATAGTGTGAAAACAATGTTTTATGTTGCAACAAATCCTAGTAAAAATTTTTTAAAGCTATAGTAAACATGTCACGGAAATATATCTTCCTTGGGACAGTTGTTTTCCTGTGGACAGCTAATATAAATCATTTTTAATTGGATCCTGGATACAAAAGAAATACCCAGGTAATATTTATCTATCAGAGTTTTGACATGGTTAACAAATTTGTGGAAGGTCTAAACAGATAATATAGCATAAACATCAATACATAAAACAGTGATGGATAATGCTGTCTCAAGTGAGTGAATGTGCCTATTAAAATCTGAAGATGTTTGGATAATGGAGGCTACCTGATTGTCAATGCTTATTTTTAATTTCTTAAAACACACATCCCATTTGAATTTCATATACTGTATTCAGGCTACAATTCTATACTCGGTGATGTGTGAGTAAACACTATGGAACTCAATGGAACTTATTTTGAAATCAACTTCTGTAGGATTTCATTCCAAACTATGGAAGGGTAAGCTTTTGGTATTGCATGTTGTGGGGTGTAAGCTTCCAGGGCACTAGCAGCCTAGACCCAACTGCAACACTTGGTGCAGGTTGCCAGAATAGGGTGCTGTTGGTCTCTTAATGTGGTTAGAGGCCACCACTGCTGAGGTCAAAAGGAGGCACAGTAGCTACTAGCTCATTAAAGGCAAAAAAGTAAAGGACCCCTGGATGGTTAAGTCTAGTCAAAGGCAACTATGGGGTTGCGAAGCTCATCTCACTTTTAGGTTGAGGGAGCTGGAGTTTGTCCACAGAGAGCTTTCTGGGTCATGTGGCCAACATGACTAAACTGCTTCTGGCACAACGGAACACCATGACGGAAGTCAGAGCGCATGGAAACGCCGTTTACCCTCCCGCAGGAATGGTACCTATTTATCTACTTGCACTGGCGTGCTTTTGAACTGCTATGTTGGCAGGAGCTGGGACAGAGCAAAGAGAGCTCACCCCGTTGTGGGGATTCGAACTGTCAACCTTCTGATTGGCAAGCCCAAGAGGCTCAGTGGTTTAGACCACAGCGCCACCCGCATCCCTATTAGCTCATTAAGGATCAGCTGACACAAATGGCCAATGAGATTCTATTTGGCATCATAATACCTCCAGTTCTGGCTTGCTTCCTTAGTCTAAGCAATTTATTTCAGGTACAGAGCAAGCTGTAATTGGACTATTCTAGCTGACCTCTCTGCATTCTCCCCTCCTTGTGACTCTGCTCTTCACTCATTACCTTACCAGCTTACTTGGTCACCAAGCTACTTTCCATCTCATTGGTCTGCCACTTGCTTTATCTCCAAAATAACTACCTGCGGCAAATAGGTTCGTGGAAGTTCAAAAGGGTAGATCAAATGGTATAGAACAGAAACGATGGACATGTTACACAGCCAATGACTAATAGATATGGTTATGGTTACGGTTGTTGTTGTTGTTGTTGTTGTTATTTCTGTTGGGAGCCACCCAGCCAGATGGATGGGTAAATAAATAAATTTACATCTGACCCCCACCTACCACTGAGATGGGAATATGGCCCTATTGTTGAGAAATCTTACCTGTCCCCCATGAATAGTTAAAGGCTCAAGAGATTTGCACCAGGACAATGACATCTCATCATCTCATGTTGTCCTCTCCCATTCAACTTCTCCACCATCATTGCACCCTTTATTGCAGTCTGTTGAAACGTAGATTGCAAGCTTCTCAGCATACAGAGTTTGGTTGCTACTGCTGTTGTTGCTCCTCCTCCTCCTCCTCCTCCTCTGTAAAGTACCATGTACATTGATGGCATAATAATGATGATGTTTTGAGTTCTGACCCACTTTTCCCAGTGTTCCTATAGTAACCATGGCACAAGATTGGATCAGAGCTTTTCCTTTACATTGTTTTGTGTTTCTAAGTTCTGGAGAATTTGGTTTGCTGAAATACCTTCTTAACAACGGCATAAAAGTCCTTCCAGAAACAACCGTACTCAAAGCAGCCAAAACATAATACTATCCGGTAAGGTGCCATCAAAATCCAGACTTTATTTAGCACAAGCCAATGATGTAGGCAACTGAACATGATGCCAACCACCACTTGCTTTTGGAGACACTTTCCCGTGGAAGCCAAAAACTTTTAATTGCTAATTATAGCAATGTGAATCAATCTTTTGCGATAAACATAGCAGAGCAGTTCACTCCTGACTGTGGGATTATTTAGTTTTCCAATAATAGGAGTACAAAACACATGCTCTCTGTCATTTCTCAGCACCAATACTGAAAACAATGCAACAAGAGTGTAATATAGTGCCTTTTATTTGAACTCAAATAAAACCTTACAAGCAATGGGAAATTGTACTGTGCTAAAATCTGTCCTCCATTTTCACAAAGGTTGTTCTCCCTTGCAAAAAGGGCTTCCATTTTGCTGCCCTGTTCTTAGGGAATTTTGGTGGGTGTGGGGTTTTGAGCTTACCTTATCATTGTGAGGTAGCTGTGTTAGTTTCTGTTATCACTGTGCAGCTGCATGGAGTCACAGGACTCTGTTTACATTCCAGAGACATTCCATACTATTGGAAGTCTCACGGGAGAGGAGACGGATGTGACGTTAGTGGTTTCCTGTTTCCTTTGTTCAGTTGCTCCCTGCTCTCACAGGGAGAGGATGTATATTTCTTTGCTCTCTGCGTAGCTAGAAAATAAAGCATAGCAATGTAGCTCATACTATCTCATCCTTCTGCGTGCTGTTTTGATGCTCTGCTGGGACGACGTGCCTGAGGCCTTATCAAAGGATCAGGTCGTCAATTAATCGTCGGGAGGCGATTCCGAAGATGAGCCTTATCAGCTTGGTCGAATGGAGATTCTGACAAGCTGAAGGTGGTGTGTGGCTTAATTTCCATTAAACATTAGTCTACCACTCTGCAGCTTGTCTAGTAGCCTGCATTTTCTTGATCTGAAAAAGCCCCATGAGAGGAGTTGCCTCCTGATATTTTCCCTTGTGTTTTGACGAAAGCATGGCCTACTTGGAAAGGCTGCAGGGTGTAGACTGCTGGTGAGGTGATTTGTACAATGAATGAAAGGCCACAATCTTGACCACCTCAAAGTAAGGTATTCCCAACACCCATGAGAGTCTCACCCAAACTTTTATCTTTCCCTTTGCTATTTCTAACACAATTTCTTTACTCATTGATGGAGAACGGTTAAAAAATGCAGGAGAATTTTTCTGGGACAGCACTTGTAGAAATTACTCTCCTGTAGTGTGCTGGAGCCTTGCACTAATGCTGTCATATCATGTCCCAGCCGACATGTCACAGCTGTGCTTGGTTGTGTCAAATGTCCAAAGAGTCCATCTGCAAATAAGTAAACAAATAATGCCCGCATGAACACTAAACACAACTTTTCTGTCAACACTTTCAGTCAAAACCTTTGTTTGTGGTTCGAGGACCCGACCCCCACGAAGTGAAATGAAGACACAAGGACACATGATATAAGTTTGATGGGCTAGATAAGGCCACAACTTTATTGATTACAGCAATGAAAAGGTATTGGCTTAGGCATTGGATCGAAACAAGTGGGTTTATTCACCAGTAGGTGGAGCCTGTTGATACTAATCCAACTATAGGCTCACCCCTGCTGTCACCGAGGGTCATGCCATGGCCTCCCGCCAAGCAGGCATCGGACAGAATACACGACCGCCAGATTCCTTTAACGGAATACCCCTAAAAATTGAAGGCATAGGCGATGGCCACACCTAGCACTTCGACACATACACATTATTCCAATGCCTAACCTACCCACCAATACCACAAAAGTTGTGACGATTGCTACGAGGTAGGCGAAAAAACCAAAAAGCCTAATGCCAAATGGAAAAACTCCTACCAGGCCCCCCGGGCAACCAGGGCGACCAACCTAAGGTCCATAGCAAGGCCAATGACCTAAGCCCTAACTAAAAGGGAGTGGAGGGTGGGTGACTCGCGACGGGACGACGACGACGAGGAATGAGGCCAGGGAGAGGCTGGTGCTACAGCAAAAGGCTGCTGAACACGCCCCCTCCGTGGCACCTGGTTGGGTGGCCACCGGAGGGGGCGTGAGCGCCAGCCAGGTGAGCTGGAGGCAGGGGGCGACGCCCCCTGCTGGGCGGTGCTCGGGCTCCCGCCCACAACCACTCCCCTCTCTTTCAGGGAGGAGAGTCTTTCTACGTGGTATTTCTTAAGGAAAAGGGAAACAGATCGCCCTCAAAGGACACGGCTCAGAGTGTTTTCACAAAGTTGCCTCTGAGCTTCTGTTGCATTATTTATGTTAACATTTGAGCGCTGCTCATGCAGGAAACAAAGCCGAGAAGGGGCATTTGTAGTGCGAATCAGTATTCTGGTCAATGTGGTTTTTTATATTGGCATTACAAACTTGAATGATACAAGAGCCCTTTAAGCCTCGTATGCGAGTCCAGAGGTGAAAAGAACAGGAGCAACTTAAAAACATTCAAAAGGCACAACTGCAGAGAACCATGGAAACTGGTCAAACGCCTAGGAAATCTAGATGGTGAATATTTACGTTTTCCCTCTCCAATGCATTTTGGGAATGTTGGAAACAGGCTGATCCACAGAAGGACCAGAGTGGGAATGTTGTGGCATAAAGCATTATAGCCCCGGCTGCCTAACTAGGGTCTTAATCCAGAATCAGGTTCTGCCACAATGGCACTGTGTGCAAATCTCACCTCCATTTAAGGCACAGCTATAGGTGTTCGGGCATCTGTCTGAATATGCAGACACCAAAGCGTGTGCTTTGGCAGAGCTTTGCATGCTCTGCACTTCCCCTCAATGTGCTCATGAGCGTGTCCCTTCAGTCCCCCACCTTCTGCAGTTTCTACAGCAATTGTGACAATGATAAAAGCAGGGTCTCTGATCACACAGAGAAGTCTACTTCGTAGAAAACCTCTTCAGGCCTTTCCCAAGCAACACGGGGATGACCAGGGATGGAGGGAACCCCCACAATGCACACAAGGAAATTGGGGGGGGGGGAGCCTGCAGGCACACACGCCCAGCTCCCATCTACACTTTCAGCGTTCTCATGTTGAGACAAACATCTGAATATGCTTTACGGAACTCTACTTTGACATATGTTATAAATCACGGTGAAAATGTTTGACTGCACATGTGGTGTGTCCCAAGGCATTTTCTTCAGTGCAGATCACATTTAGAATGTGTGGTTTCACTCTTAGCATTAAAAGTAAAGTTTGCAGATCATGCCAAAGAACACTGGGCGAGATCCAACCCTCTGGCACAAGTGGAGATTGCATGCAGGAGGAGAGGCAACAACGTCTCAGAGCATCCCCTCATGCTTTATGAGTTGCTGTTCTCCTCCCTGGCCTTTTGAGAGAGCTTTCAGCGGCCACCATTTGAAATGGGAAGCTCTTGAGCCACCATCCACCAGCAGAATCACTTGTGCTGGGTGAATTTCTGATCATATTATCTTCCTATCAAGCTGGCATTTTGCAAGCCAAAAATGCCATACAAATACACACAGACAATGTTTATCATTTCGAAGCTTTATTCTCTTTTTATGGGATACAACTGTTGTAACGATTCAGCCCATGAAAGGGAGATTATAAAATGAGATCAGTTTAAAACAGATCCAGTTCTTTAGTCTTACGTTCAATATTGCTATATGCAGGGTGCATTTTGATAACATAATAATTTATTTAGTATTATTATTAAAAATTTCTACACCGCCCTTCATTCAAAGATCACAGGGCAGCTTACAATATAAAAACACAAAATTACATAGCACAATACCCTCAAAGTATTGTTATTAATTAAGGGCTACAAATAATAATAACCAAACCCCAATAATTTGATAAAAACATAGCATGCAATCTATGCTATCATCTGTCAATAAAACTATCCACTACAAGCTCAGGAAAAATAATGAGGAGCAAACTTTGTTGCAAAGGCACATTTTCAGTTCAATACATATAGTTTCTAGTAGAAATATTTGCAGATTCCACCCCAAAACAGTGTCAGAAAGTAAATGTTGCAGGTTATCAGCTTGTGCGATTTTAGCTAAATTTTCTGCTCCATCCTTCTCATTAGTTAAAAGGAAAGCCCCCATAATGATTATTTCAAATTGCAGAAAGCTTCTTTTGGAACCTGAGAAGGATCAGAGCCTTCCATAAAGGGAAATTTATAATGTCAGTAAAATACTTTTTACGGTCAGTAATACCAGTGGGGTTAATTTGACGTTTGATAACACAAACAGTTCGGTCTGTGCCAAGACCTATTTTATTCACTTTTAAAATATTTTTTTTAACCACCGCTAGTTGACTATGTCCTCTGTCTGCCCCTGCCTAGAAAATAACATTTATGAATCAGCACAAGCTTCCCAGATGTAGTCAGCCAAGACAATTCTTTCAGTAGACTGAGAAGATTCTGCTCTTAGCAACAAAACTGAGTCTCTCTTTGCTTCCTTTGAAAGAATTCTAATCCAATAATTGAAAATGCAAGAATAAATGGATTCCCAAGTCTATAGGAGAAGAATCCAATGAATATTTTAGGGGCACCCATAATTGCTCTAAGGATTCTTTTCTGAGAATTTTGCAGATCAGTTGAGATCAGAGGGGCCCCAAGGTTGCACTTTAAACCATGATCAGTTAATTATTGTTTTTATATTTCTCACTCACCCTTCACCATAAGGTCTCAGGGCTGGTTATAGCAATGAAAAATACAGTATTAAAATCAGTTAAAACAGTCAGAGATTGTTTGAGGACTTCGATATTAGGAAAGAACTTTAGGACCCCACTGGTTGCCTGTTCCGCCTTCAGTCTAACAAGTTGAATGTTTACTTTCCAATTGCAGATTTCAGGAAAGCAACCTCCCAGATAACAGATATAATCAATCTACTTAATCATGTGATCATAAATGCTTCATAAAGGCCTTAGATATTCTACCAAGAGAAGGCACTTTTCCCTTTTCAGAGTTAATATTAAACTTTTTATTAAAAACAACAACCATGAGACAAACTCACAGGCGCTTCTGGAACATCAGAAAATTAACAATGTCAATCTGTGTTGAGTAGTAAGGACCATTTGTTCTTGGTAACTGACAATGAGAAATCATTTTAGTAGTGTGGCCATCATATATATTATCATCAAAAAACTAGTAACATTGAGAAATACTTTTAGCACGGTGGTTATATATCATGTAAAAAAACTGAACAGAAAGAGGGGCAAATATGATGGCTATCATTACTGTAATCTGCATCATGTTGTTAGTAGAAGTAGCTTTCATCTTCATTTTTGTAGTTCAATGGATCTCAAACTTTTTTTGTCTGGGTCAGAATAAAAAATTGCTCATAACACACTGAAATTTTTATTGATAAGAAATACATTGGAAAACAAAAAGTAACAACTTCTAACACTGCTTGATTTTGAAAAAATATCTATCCATAATCTGTGAATATAAATAATAAACAAATTATTTAAACAAATTATTTTGATAGTACTGTATACTATACCATACTTAAATGTTTAAATGTTTCTTTGATTGTCCTTGAATCTTCCCGCAACACTTGCCATCCTCTCCTGCCACACCAGTGAGAACCACTGATAAAATTTATAGTGTAATCCTTTACATGTTTACTCATAAGAAAGTCCTTGGCCCAACTTACTTTTGCCATTCCCATTTGGATTTCAGGGATTCACTGCCAAGTGGAAAGAGTTCAATCTTCTTGCTTTCCTTAGACAGATATCAGGTTTGCCATTCTGCATGGAGAGTGCAGCTATTTATTTGGAAATGGGTATTTGATCAGTTGAATGTAAATTCTGGGAGGATGCCATGAAATGGTGGCTGCAGCTACGCTTCTTGGCAGTTCTTGCTACTTCTCCCCTTATTACTCTCAGACTCTTTTGTTTGTCAGTGGATGAGAGATAGAGAAGATGCAGGGCACCTCTACTGAAGTTTGTGGACTATAATGGTTTAAAGATAATTTCTCATTAAAATCTGGGGAAAACATGTTGATACACAAAAGGGGGCGTTGTTTTATAAACTATTTCAATCTAGTAAAAATTAGCAAGGCTCATTGAGGGCAACACTTCCACCACAGCTTAATTTAGATCTTCCTGAATAACAAGAGCCAGTGTGGTGTAGTGGTTAAGAGCGGTAGACTCGTAATCTGGGGAACCGGGTTCACATCTCCGCTCCTCCACATGCAGCTGCTGGGTGACCTTGGGCTAGTCACACTTCTTTGAAGTCTCTCAGCCCCACTCACCTCACAGAGTGTTTGTTGTGAGGGAGGAAGGGAAAGGAGAATGTTAGCCGCTTTGAGACTCCTTCAGGTAGTGATAAAGCGGGATATCAAATCCAAACTCTTCTAACCAACATTCCAAGATGTCAATATACAGCCTCGAGCAGCTGATGTGATACTTTAGGAGTGCTGCTCCCCTGTCCTCTGTCTGACTGAGTCACTGCAGCACACTGGGATGAAGAGAGGGAGGTTTGTGTGACAGTGGCCAGGTTGGTATGGTGAATTGGCTCCACTGGAAAATTTACACTGCACCAACCTTGCCACTGTATCCCTCCCGCTCTCTGCAGCGACTCCGTTGGATGAAGCTCAGGTGAATACTGCAGCCCCACCTTATGATCTGCTATGGACAACCTGAAAACAGCACCACCACCATGAGGGGAAAGGTGTGCATTTTACATCATAGCATACTCTGCAGACCACAGATAGCCAATGGGATGCCCGCCAGATGTTGCACTACAACTCCCATCATCCAAGGAGCTATGGTGACTGGAGCTGATGGGAGTTATAGTCAAACAACATCTGGAGGTCCCCCACAATGGTTCTCCCTGCTGTGGACAGTTGGGAAACCCCAGTGTGTTTGAAAAAGCCGGAGTTTCTACCGTAGATTCTTTAGCTTATCAAGGATTTTTCGTTTGGTAAAATCATAAGGCTTCTTTGATGAGCTCAGCCAACCTCTGAAAACCCTGCAATAATAAATAAGAATGATAACTGGTTAGGATTGGAGCCATTCAAGTGTGGGTTCAGGGTCTGCCACACAAGTCTCAACAAGGCCCTATTTATTCTTTCTCTTCTGCCTATTTTGGCTCATGAGCCATGTGAAGGCAGCATTACATGGGCATTCCAAGGAATGGGAAGATGTGCACTTTCCATACCTCCCCATGTCTATCTCTCATGGTCCAGAGCTAGATATAGGAGGTGTATACAGACCTTCTATGGCATGAGTTTGATTGGATAGGGACCTTCCTGCTTTATTTCTAAATTAGCTGATTTGGCAACATTCCTGCACCAAACAGGAATGCTTTGAGCTCCTTCCTTTGAAGGTCAAACCCTTGGCCACTGTTCCCAAATGTCAGCTCCCAACCCTTCCTCTCTCTGAAGGGCCAAGTCTCCACAGACCTCAGGGGAGTGTGCGGACTTCACAGGGCCCTCTGGGTGATGCAGGGCCCCAGACTTGCACCTGTGAGTCTGGCCCTAGTGACAATGATGACAGGAGGCTGAATGATAGCAAATCTGACCAAAGAGTTGACAAGCTGGCAGGTACAGCAAGACTGCACTCACCTGATCAATCTGGCTTGGAGAAGAAAGCGAGAAGGAAGCTCTGACGTAAGAGCTGGGATTGGAGCTGTTAATGTTAAACGCTCTTCCAGGAACCAGCAGCACCTAGAGACAAATCTTTCACGTTCAGTTCATAAGCTTATTCTGCCTCTTCCAATATTAGACACTGTTAAAACTATGATTACCTCCCTCTCTCCCAACATTATTTTAGGCCTAGGATAGTATAGATTTTTCATACTTGTTTCTCCAAAGCTTTCTTCATTATCAACTCTTGTGTATCAGAAACTCCCTTGATTTTCATCCATAGAAACATTCCAGCTGCAGGTGAATGCCAGTCTGCTAGGCCTTAAGAGACAGAGAGAAACAGTCAGGGAAAGGAAAGATGTAAGAACATAACTTTCATGCCATAACGTAACTTTTCTTCTTTAACAAGTTTGGGTTTCTTTTACGTTCTGTGATGATTTACTGTAAGACTTATGAGCTGCTCTTAAGCCATCTGCTGTGCACATCTTATGTACTTCTCTGAACAAATGAGGGAAATTATGGACTTCTACCCTGTGTTACCTTCCTTCTGGCAATACACCTCTATCACATATAGAAAGGGTGATGTCAGATGGCAGTGGTAGTTGCTCGTGAGTAACCAGGCAGGACTCAGACCTGTCTTTTACACATTTTATTTTGGTGCAAACTATTTACAGTGCAGAGCCACAAGTTCATGTCTGCCTCAATCACTAGCAGAATCCGGGAGTGGTTGTTTCCTGGATCTCCCCCAACATAAAAGTCTCATTACTTCCAGCCTTTTCCTTCCCTCTTTGCACTTTAGACCTCTGTGCAGGATGGGCGACGGAAGGGGCATGCTTCCCTCCTGGCCAGCTTGGCCAGGAGCAGTGCTAAGGCTCCCCGCAGCATCCTCAGGTCCTTTTACCTCTTCCCCACTGGAGGTGGGGCTTTCCTCATCACCGGAAGAAGAACTGCTTCGCAAGATTTTCGGAGGCTCCCTGTAACATGACTGCCCCTCTGTTTCCTGTCCCTGTTACGATGGCAGTTCCCTGACAGGTGAGGGACTTTTTTTCCTGCCTGAGGGCCACATTCCCTTCTGGGCAATCTTGTAAGGGCCACATGACACTAAGGATGGGACATGAGGCAAAAGTGGGCAGGGCAATGGATATAAATTTTACCGTAGGCTAGTACAACGCTGTACAGTAGGCTAATACACTCACACACTTTTTCCTATCGCACCTCCAGGGAATGAAAGAGGCATTATCAGAGTTGAAGGACACATTCCAGCCAGGTATAAACACCCGATGAAGGTGCAAAAAGGGCTGCGGAGGAGTGGGGCCTGGAACATATCCAGCCCCCAGGTCTGAGGTTCCCCTACCAATGGCATCAGTGCGGGATTTACGTATAAGCTAAACAAGCTATAGCTTAGGGCCCCACTCTCTTGGGGCCCCCAAAAAAATTTAAAGGGAAAAAACCTGGATGCACATTTCCAAAATTTAAGATAAAAAACAAATAAAATAAAACCTACATACAGCAACAGTGTTTTGTGTTGTGTAGGCGCCTATGATGTAAGTAATGGGCCCCACTTGCTAGCCTGCTCCCTAAAATATCACTGGTTTGCTCATTTCTATATCAATTACTTTGATAAAATACATATTTTGTTATGTGCAAATGGCTTTAGATACCTATTAGGTCGATAAATTACCATATAGCATATATTCAACACAAAAACCAGTGATAATTTGTTGTTGACAAAGGACAGCTGGGTGTATAAAGGGCCCCATTACCTTCAGTAGCTTAGGGGCTCATCAAACCTAAATCCGGTCCTGAATGGCACATACAGGAACAAAACAATTGATTTACAGTTCAAATATTACTCTTGTCTTCAAACCTTTTAGCCACTTATCTGCTGCCACAAGCATCACATCCCGCTGCTTCTTGTAAAAGTCCACCACACTGGAATACAAACATTATTGAGGAAAAGCCATTTCAACAAGAGAACTTTTGCATCATTAAAACTCTGATAGCAAAAACGAAGAGTACGAGTTTATAAATGAAACAGAAATCTGTTACAAACCGAGGGCTGGAGTGTACACAAAATGGCGACTGCAATGTGGAAGCTGGTTTTAGTCCCTCGCCATTCATCTGCATGCAGTGGCTTATCACACAAAATGAAATTTCTTGTCAGTGCTTTTTAGGGGCAGGCAGGTGGGAGATAGTGGTGATTTAGAGAAAAATCCCTAAATCCAGTGGTGAGTGACATGTAAAGAGTCCTCATGGGGCACATATGTTAAAACTACATGGCTGGTCTTTGTGTATGCATATCCTCTTTGGTGCCATAGATTTCAATAGATGTAAATAGCGCATAGGTACGCATCACCGTTTTGAATGTTTAATGTTCATAGCATTAAGTATGAAAATACTGGCGCCATATAATACTGTGCTCACATTCCGCCCCCCCCCGGTAGGTCTCTACATATGCTTCTCACTATAGTATGCTATTAACAAGTTTGTGTGTGTCTGTACTGGGGCAAGGTGAGGCTCTTCCAATGGTACTATTAATTGGCCAGTTGTAAAATAATACAGTGGTACCTCGGGTTAAGTACTTAATTCGTTCTGGAGGTCCGTACTTAACCTGAAACTGTTCTTAACCTGAAGCACCACTTTAGCTAATGGGGCCTGCTGCTGCCGCCGCGCTGCCGGAGCCCGATTTCTGTTCTTATCCTGAAGCAAAGTTCTTAACCTGAAGCACCATTTCTGGCTTAGTGGAGTGTGTAACCTGAAGCGTATGTAACCCGAGGTACCACTGTACATGTTTTATGTTTCCATGGAAGTTTTATGTTATTTAAGTATTTTTATCTTCCTCTTCAGCAAAAAAAGGTTCCCATGGCAGCCTATGTAAGATTAATAAAAACAGTAACAAAAAAGGCAACCTTGCCCGCAAATAAACTTACAATTTAAAAAGACATGACATAAGGGGGGAAAGGGGGGAAAAAGGGGGGGAAAGAATGCAGAAGTTGGAGGACACCGTCAGTTCCTGGAGTTACAAAGCTCTTGACCTGGCCAGCTCTAATGGAAATTCATGGATAGATAGAAAGGAAGAGCCAAATGAAGCTGGTCTCATAACACAGCTACTGGAGTATATGCTCTTCGATGCACAAAATACAAAAAGTAGGACCAATGAAGTAATTATTTGCCTGCGCTAGACACTGCACACAAATTGCTTTGTGAGGCAAACTGGATGACACTAGCTGTCTTAACATCCCTAGCCTTCTTGGCAGTTCCACGGTTCCTCAAGTTTATAATTAGCCACTCATGGAGTGGCTTATTTCTTGCCCTCGTTCCAAAGGTCATGATGTACAGCCCTGCCTGGTATAAAAAATGCAGCAGTTCTGTCTGATAATGTTAGAAGTAGAAGCCTGATTCTAACCATGTTTCCTTGAAAGTCTTAAGCATGGAGCCTTGGGCTACTGGAAAATAGCCCAACGTGAAAACAAAATGACAACAACATAGTAATGTAAAATATACATGCATTACCCATCTACGTGGTCCAGGAAACCTTTTTGTCCCCACTGTTGAAGAAGCTGGGCTATCATAAGCTATGGAAGTAAAGCTTAGAGTAAATATCTCATCAAACAGAGACTAATAAAGAAGCTAGAATGCCTAGATATTAGAAAACCTGCATGCCGTGCAGTGAAATCCTTTGCCAGTTTACTCAGAAGTAAATCCAGTGGGCCTTACTGTCAGGGAAGTTACGTAAGATTACATCCAAAATTCCCTTTAACCCCTTTAATTTATTATTTAGTTATTTATTGCTTCACATTTATGGCTCACCCTTCTTTCCCAAGTGGAGCTCAGGGAGGCTCACACCAATAAAACTACATAACTCCGAACAACATTATATTACAGAGATTAAAGCCAGCATGGCGAGCCTGTAAGCCTGATACAGCTATTCTTATCTCTCTCCAAGGTTTTTGATCTCTATAAATCCGTATGCCCAGTTCTTAAGGTGTTCCACAACTACAGAATAACCCTGTCAAAGTGATTAGGCCCAGTGCTGCCGTATAAGTTTTAAGCAGTGTTCATTTGCCCAGAAGCAGAGACTGCATGTACCGCTCCCTTGTGTGTTGCCATTTCCCTTTCCACCCTTCTCAATTATCTTGCTAACTCAAAGGAATAGAAATTGAATCGACAAGGGGCTAGTTGCAAAAAGCTCTAGTTCCCATAACATTCTGTGTTGTTAATTAATACCACAGATTCCAAACGTTTAAAAGGTCTTTTTAAATTAAACTCAACCCTCTTAATTCATAATTACTTTTAATAATAAATTAAAAGTAGTGCTAATATGCGACAATTACACTTATTTATCTACACACACGCATGTGCAAACTTTGTGAAAATTATGCTGAAATTACAAAAAAGGTGGAAAATTTTACATAATGGTTTTCTCATTGGGTGGTATCCAATTTGTGCAATGTGAATGTTCGGTCAGCGTAAGGATTTCTGCTTGCACAATTGCACAATGGAATAGTCCCCCCTCTCCCCCCAGTGCACCCCACAAATCTGCACCCCAGGAGCTGCCCCAACCCTCATGTTATTACAATGAAGCTTTCCACAGTTGTTGCATATACTTTTAGAAACCTTGGCTCTTACCTGCGTGAAAGTACTGGTATGCATTGTGGAAACCTGAATATGCAGAATAACTCTGTCGATGAGAGGCTTGGGACCAGTTAGAAACCCTATCCTTAGTCTATGTAAAAAAACAACAATTAATTCAAATTGTAACATTTCATCATTTAAATATGTAATTACAATTCAATGCATTTGTGCTGGAATATCTTCCTTTGCTCCTGACATTTATCGTGACTTTCAATACATAGAAGAGAATTATGAGAGAGGAAGTAGAAGGAAAACGAGACAATACTACAGAAACTGGAGAAGAACCTAGGAGTTCAAGCACCTATAGCTAAGGAACTTTTGACAGCTCAGGTGAATGCTTAGCATTTGCTGTACTTGCACTCTCTAGAAAAGAGCAGAATTTAGTTCTCAGTAACTGACAAGAGGGAGGACAGAGTGGCAGATGGGGGGGGGGGAAGTAAGTGAAATAAAATTAATGGGGAAGGCGAGAAGCAGTTTTTCTTTTATGGTTATAAAGGTAAAGGTAAAAGGACCCCTGACCATTAGGTCCAGTCGTGGCCGACTCTGGGGTTGCGGCGCTCATCTCGCTTTATTGGCCGAGGGAGCCGGCGTACAGCTTCTGGGTTATGTGGCCAGCATGACTAAGCCACTTCTGGCGAACCAGAGCAGCGCACGGAAAAGCTGTTTACCTTCCTGCTGGAGCGGTACCTATTTATCTACTTACACATTGACGTGCTTTCGAACTGCTAGGTTGGCAGGAGCAGGGACCGAGCAACGGGAGCTCACCCCGTAGCGGGGATTCGAACCGCCGACCTTCTGATCAGCAAGTCCTAGGCTCTGTGGTTTAACCCACAGTGCCACCCGCGTCCCCTATGGTTATACTAATAGTTTAAGGTTCTTTCTGCAGTGTGTGGCTGGAAAACCCAAGCTCAGAACCCACATCATTGAATTTACATTGTGGGGCATATGGTCAAGAAAGGAAAAACCGATATTACCCAGATGAGAGGATCTTAGAGAAAGAGTCCGTCCTGATAACTCGACCATCAATATCCATGGAAAGAAATGTTGGTGCCCAAGGCTTGTGGAAAGAACACAAAGGTTAGTTAGTAAAAGTTAACACAAGAATTCCGGTGCTTTATAAGCAGAAGTATAAGAGGGGTGTATAATACATTGTGGAAGGTTAGTTCTACTAAAAGTAGGCCCATTGAAATGAATAGATCATTACTAGCTTAAGTTTATTCATTTCAATGACTCTACTCCAAGAAGAACTTAGTTGGCTCCAACTCTTAAAACGTACATGGTTTTTAACCTATTTATGCAGCAACACAGACATGCCCCTGATGTCAGAGTCCCACATTCTTTCTCATGCCTTCATTGCCAGAAAGCATCTTGTTTGTCTGCATGAGAAATGGCAACGTTTGAGATGACGGCATTTCCCAGCTGCTACTATGGCCATTTTGCTTTTCACCACTCGCCAGAGCAATTGAATTCAGTATATGGTTGGAGATTTCTTCTTTCCAGTTGTCAGGAGCCAAAAATAAGGGTTGCGCCAATGGTGAGAAAATCCCAAATGACTGGGCACTGACTGCAAATACCACCAAGCCATGGGCTTTTTGTTGCTAGAAACCACTTTGGAACACGAGGATGGACAAGTTTTACCCATGCAGGAGAGCTAGTTGGAAGACTGAACCCTTTCTGTCAGCTGGGTGGAGGATAAAGGCAACAGAGGGATGAGGTAAAAAAATGTTTTTTTAAAGATATGTGTACATGCGCGCGTGCCTATCTATCTATCTATCTATCTATCTATCTATCTATCTATCTATCATCTATCTATCTATCTATCATCTATCTATCTATTTATCTAATCTATCATCTATCTATCTATCTATCTATCTATCTATCTATCTATCATCTATCTATCTATATCATCTATCTATCTATCTATCTAATAGGATAGATAGGTAAGGAAAAGGCGAAAGACACAAATGAAGAAGAAGAAGAAGAGTTTGGATTTGATATCCCGCCTTTCACTCCCTTTAAGGAGTCTCAAAGCGGCTAACATTCTCCTTTCCCTTCCTCCCCCACAACAAACACTCTGTGAGGTGAGTGGGGCTGAGAGACTTCAGAGAAGTGTGACTGGCCCAAGGTCACCCAGCAGCTGCATGTGGAGGAGCGGAGACGCGAACCCGGTTCCCCAGATTACGAGACTACCGCTCTTAACCACTACACCACACTGGCTCTCCAAATGATGAAGAGAGAAAGGAAGGGGACCAGAGGCAAAAAAGTGAAGGATAAGGAGAAGAGGAACTGAGGAAGAAGAGGTAGAGAGAGATCCCAAACAGGATGTGCTCTAAGCTTAGACAGGAAAATGGTCTGAGCCTCAACAGGAAGGAAGGAGCAAAGTATTCTGTCACGAGTTCTGAGTGTTTCTGTCTGTGAGCTGCAGGGGTAGCTGTACTGTCCACTTCAAGACCTCTGTCATCCACGGGTGAAAATATGTGTATTTTGTATACAAAATAAAAAGGCTCAAGAACGTGAATTTGTGCATTTCAAAAAATGTTTATTGATGTGTAAACAGGATGGAACAGGCTCATGAATAAATGTATGTTAAGCTGATATGAACCAGACATGGACTGACCTGTCCATCCCTACTGCCAAAAATGAGGCACATGACATCCTTTTATTTTTGCACTTTTGCAAATGCCATGATGAGAACATAACTTTCCGCTTAGTGGGGAAAGAATAGGGAAATATCATTTCAAAATACAACCAGTAATGTGGTATCAGCGGGATGCAAGTTAGAAGAGATAGCAAAATCTATGCTAGCGCGCAGCAGAATTGAAAACTCACCTTATCAAACTGAAGGAAGTAATATGGATCATCTTCTATTATGAGGAAATCATATTGTCTTGCAAGCTGAAAGGGGGGAGGGAACAACAACCCACTGACACATACGTGCAATAAAATACTTAATCAAATCAGAAACATTCTGTTCCCCAAATGGTTCCCCTTTAAGCCATTACACCATCACACAAAGTAGTCTTCAGGTGTGTCAGGTGAATCCAAACTTAGTTTCAAATGGAATTATGAATAAGCGGTGGAGATTTTTGCCCTGATCCTAAGATCTGTGTGCATTCTCACATGCACCCGCATCTCTTGAAAATGCTGGGATTCTAATTAATTCCAATGGAGAGAGGGCATGCAAAAGCATATGGATGCAGGTTAGCACTTTCCATGGAAGCTAATTAAGAAAATTGGTCTGGGTAGCAGCAATCCATATACGCTTTCAGGCTCGAGTGGCTGGAAGTGAGGAGGATCAGAGTGCAGTATGCCAGACTCTAAATGAGTGTGTTTAATGCTTTAATCACAGATTTAAAAGTATATCTGTTAATTGGGCAAGTCATTAGCCACATGCAACAGATTTCTTCTAAAAATTGTATTTGCTTGAGTACATAAATATGGAACTTAAAAGAGGGAAAGAAAACCCTTTTTACATCCCAACCACATTGGCGCCACAGAACATGCATTTCATATATTTCTGTCCCATCTTTGAGGATGATCCATCACCAGGCAATTTACAATAAACATGTTGAAACCAAAAACAACTGAACAAATGTGTATACACCCACCCACCCACCCCGTATTTTTTGCTCTCTAAGACTCACTTTTTCCCTCCTAAAAAGTAAGGGGAAATGTGTGTGCGTCTTATGGAGTGAATGCAGGCTGCGCAGCTATCCCAGAAGCCAGAACAGCAAGAGGGATTGCTGCTTTCACTGCGCAGCGATTCCTCTTGCTGTTCTGGCTTCTGAGATTCAGAATATTTTTTTTCTTGTTTTCCTCCTCCAAAAACTAGGTGCGTCTTGTGGTCTGATGTGTCTTATAGAGTGAAAAATACGGTGTGTGTGTGTGTGTGTGTGTGTGTGTGTGTGTGTATATATATATATATATATGCAGGTTTTGGTGTCCTCGGGTGTCTTCCCGTGTAAAAGTTGGGGTGTCTAGGCGACGTTTCGACGAGGTCTCACTCGTCATCTTCAGGCTGGTGCTTTCGGCTTCTTGTTACTGGAACAGAGCAGGATCTCAGTGTTTGAGTTCCTATAAATACTGTTGAGGGGGTGTGGTGTATAGCCTCCAATGTTCTGGGCAGAGAGGAAGTTCCCAGGTTAGTGTGCCTTTTCTTCTTTTGTTCCTTAATTACTTGAGGGATATCTTGAGTGATTTCTTGAGTGATATCCTGAGTACCACTTAGGTGGGTCATTAGGTGTGGATTAGTTGCTAAAGCCTTCGTGTCTTGACCTCTTGAACTTTGTGAAGAGTTTTTCTGAGAAGATGGCTGTATTGCATTTAGTTGTGCTCTGGCTTGGCTTCGTGTATAGGGGCGAGCTGTGGTTTTGTGTCCTGTGCCAGCCAGATCTGTGTAGGGATTGCAGGGGGGTGCAGCATCCGGAGGTGCCACCATGGTTTGGCTACTGGATGGTGTCTGTAATTTATCTGTGGAGAGGGTCTGGGTTTGGGTCTGGTGTGGTTGATTGGTGATGGCGTTCTGTGTGCCTCTGGATCTGGTGTCGGTTTTTGTGGGGAGGGCTAATTTCCAGATGTCTGGCAGGCGGGATGTGTCGTCACGCTTGTTCATGTTGTGAGGGTGTTTCTCTATCTCGATGGTTTCCATGATTATTCTCTTGTGGTGATGTTCCATGTTAGAGAGCAATTTGGAATCTGCAAAATTAATTTCGTGTCCTGTTTCTTTCATGTGTTGGAAAAGAGAGGAAGTTTTTTCTTCTTTTTTGACGGCATTCTTGTGTTCTGCGATACGTGCATTTATTCGTCTGTTTGTTTGTCCAATGTACGTGGCTGGGCAGACTTTGCAGGGTATTTCATAGACCCCTTGGTTTTCCAACTGGATTTTATCCTTGGGGTTTCTGAGGATATTGGCTATTTTTTGGTTGGTGCAAAAGGCTGTTTTGATATTGTGTTTATGGAGGATTTTGCTAATTTTATCTGTAGTGCCCTTGATATAAGGAAGGAGGGCCATGCCATTGTTTTCTTCTGTGTCTTGGTTTTTGGGGGGTGTTTCTTTTTGCATTAGCTTCGTAACCCTGTTTTGCTGGTATCCATTGGCGATTAACACATTGGAGAGATTCTGTAACTCAGTTGTCAAGTGGTCTTTGTCAGCCAGGCGTTTGGTTCTGGAGATGAGAGTCTTGGCTACGGAGTTTATTTGTGCAGGGTGGTGGTGTGATTGTGCATGTAAGTAGCGGTTGGTGTGTGTTTTTTTCCGGTAGATAGTGTGTCCTAGGGAGCCATCAGGTTTTTGTAGATTAGGACGTCAAGGAAGGGAAGTTGGTTGTTGGCTTCTATTTCCATAGTGAATTGTATTTTGGGGTGTAGGCTGTTGAGATGTGTGAGGAAGCTATCTAGTTTTTCCTTCCGTGTGGCCAAATTACAAAGGTGTCGTCAACATATCTGAGCCAAAGTTTGGGTTTTGTGTTCTGACTTGTCTAAAGCATTGGTTTCAAAGTGTTCCATGTACAGGTTTGCGATGACCGGTGAGAGTGGTGATCCATAGGTGCTCCTTCTATCTGTTTGTATCTTTGTCCATTGTGGATGAAGTACGTGTTGGTTAGGCAGTGGTTGGTAAGGTCCAGGATGTATTCGGGGGGATTGTATTTGTTTTGAAATGGCTGTCAAGGCTTCATTAATGGGCACTTGTGTGAAGAGAGAATACAACATCGAAGCTCACAAGTAGGTCATTGGGATGTAGGTTTTGCTTCTTTATTGTTTTCTATGAACTGGAAGGAGTTTGTAACGTGTGAAGAGATGGATTCTGCATAGGGCTGAAGTTGCTTAGCGAGAAATTTAGCGAGATTTTGTAGAGGTGAGCCT